TTAGGCTGCGTAGAGTAAAATTCCACCAAGCATATGACTCAACATTTGAAGAATAGGTTGTTGCTAATTTCATGGCAAGAATACAAGTTTCCACTTTTATGTTTTATCCAGCACATGGTAGAACAGACGCCAGAGGCCCTGAATGAAAAGTTCTACTTCGAGGTTAGTTTATTCATTCATGCGTTTGTTCCAAGAATATTTATAAAGTACTCAGGATGAGCAAGGCACTGTACAAATAGTGTTAAAAACCTTACTTTCAGGCGCAGCGGCTCACATCTGTAATTCAAGCACTGTGGGAGGCCAAGGTGAGACGAATGCCTGAGCCCAGGGGTTCCAGACCAGCCTGGGCAACTTGGCGAGACCTAATCTCTACGGTACATCAAAAAATTAGCCGGGCATATGCCTGTAGATCAGCTACTTGGAAAGCTGAGGCAGAAGCGTTCCTTGAGCCCAGCAGGTCGAGGCTGTGGTAGCCATGAGTGTGCCACTGCACACCAGCCTGGGCAAGAGAGAGACTCTGATCCCCCAAAAGTAAACAAAACAAACAAACAAACAAAAAAAAAAAACACCTTGGTTTTTGTATTGCAGTAGAGAAAGTAATTACTTCCCACTGGGAGTGAACTGGCTCTTTTCTGTACTTATATCAATTAACCACCAACATCTTGGGTACTTGACCATGCATTTATCTTTTGTTTTGTTTTGTTTTTGAGTTGGAGTCTCACTCTGTTGCTCAGGCTGGAGTGCATTGTCATACTTACGGCCACCATAGCCTCAATCTGCTGGGCTCATGTGATCCTTCCACCTCAGCCTTCCAAGTAACTGGAACTACAGGCATGCGCTGCCATGCACGGCTAATTTTTCTTGATTTATTGTAGAGATGAGGTCTCACCTGGGCTGATCTTGAACCCAGAGGATTGCTCAGGCAAAGTGCTGGGAATATAAGCATGAGCCACCATGCCCTGCCCCAACATCTTAAGTACTTATGGCAGGTGCTTTGATGTAATGACATTGATACTGTCCAGGGGAGTGTGCAATCTGACCTCTAATTTCATGTCTAGATGTGAAAGCTAATACCACATCCCCATGACCTCACTGGCTCTAACTTCCTTCTTCTGGACATCCACAACAAGTTGATCAACCTTGAAGTTTTCCCTGGAGAATGGCCAAGTGACCTGCTACAGGACCCCTCCTCTCAAGTTCATGACTTTAAGTAGCTACCCCACTCAGTCGTCAGGATGTGGGGATATCAGAAGCAGCATCAGCTGGGGAAAGGCTGGCATTTCATTTTCCTACCTGTATGGTAGAGATCCAGAAAGTCGAAATTGCTTAGAAACTCACCAGAAAGCAGAATATTCCTGTAAGAATGTATCTTCTAATCACCCACCGGATGCAAAGTGCGTTCATGGGGGTGACAGGTAGACTTGAAGTCCAGACTTCTTCATCACTATACTGTAACCAAAAACCATTTACACCCTAATGCTATTAAAATAAAGAAAATTATTTTTAAAAAGAAAAGGTACCAAGATAAACAAGTGATCTGTGGCAAAGCTGTATGTCTGCCACTATGTTGCTGTCCTTTAATAAACATCTTAAAGGCAGATATATTTCATGTAATATAAGATGCAAGAGGGCAGGATTTTTGTCTGTTTTGTTCATTGTTGTTTCTTTAATCCTAAAGTAGTATGTGGCACCTAATATGCGCCTAATAAATATTTGTGGAATGAAAAAAACAGTGTTTTCTGGACTGAAGTAGTTATTATGTATTTTATATGTGTATATAGTTCAATATACATATATTGAGTACCCAAAAGACGGAAATTGTTGCATACAAATTAAAAAACAATAACCCCCAAAATATGAACAATTATCTGCAAAACAACGTTATTTTTACATTCTTCTTTAATAAGTTTTTTACTTCCTGTTAATATAAGATTAAAATTATTCTTTAGAAGTATTATAATTAACAATGTTAAATTCTAGACAAGATACAAATTAATGTCAAAGAATTTTGGGATTAGAAGGAATTAAAATCACAAAGGAAAGATGTTATTGAATTTCATTTCACTTCTAAATGTTAGCTTTAGAAAAGTATTTCTATTGAAATCATAATTCATCTACATACAATTTTTCTAATACTGAAGATATAAGCATATAAAGTGGTCTGTTCATTTTCTTCAAGGTTGAATTCCCCCCCACCCCCCATTGAGAAGTATAGTCCTGCCATGCTTGGTGACATTCTCTGAGGTTTGCATTTGCATAATATTCAATGTAAGTAAATGCCAACTTTTTATTCTGCAGGTTTATCCTACTTTTAGATTTGGTAAAATGCATTCATAATTGATTTATCATAAGGTTAAAAAGCGCTGGAAAATTGTATTCCTCTTATATGAACCAAAAGATTAGGATATTATCTCTCTTAGGAAGATATCATAAAACATAATATTTATAAAACTTTGCACATGCTATAGATAAAAGTAGCTAAGTATAAATGATTACTTTTTATTTTCACCTCAGATAGATCTTGCTTTAACCAAATCTTATGAGAATACGATGTGTGAAAATTTTGATATACCTGAAAGATAAGCTAGAGATGGTTATTTGCTTTATAGAATTATAATAGTTCACCTATAAAAAGTGATTTCCCCTGGTGCTTTTAGCGTATAATTGATTTATATATAACTTTTCAGGAGCATATGTACCACACACAATTATATTTTCATTTTAGTTTTTTTTTTTTTTTGGTTTAAAAGTGGGATTCAAAAACGTATTCCCTAACAATCCCGAGACAGCATAACACTTTCAGAGTGGAACCTTTTAATGGCACATTGTTGTATTTTCCATGAATACTGTTAATGGCAGGAATTGAGACTGAAGTTAAAGAACCCAAGCTTCACCCACTGCTATCTTTGTGCTATCCTGAGTCTTATCACTGAACCTACTCTCAGACATACCTGTAACTGTATGAGACTCAAATTCAAATTGAGTTCCAGGCAGACTTTGTCCATTTCTCTGTCTTTAGCAAGCCTATCCCAGGGGATAGCACTGGTTCTTGGTGAATCTTGCCATCATAGCAGGCAGCTCCAGGACCCTCTCAACATCCATTCTTTACACACATTCATTTAACAAAGAAGGGCCGAAAGAAACCAACAGACACAAAGAAGCCAAGAACCTCAACCTCACTCCTGCTGCACAGACCCCAGCTATGAGCAGATGAAATCTGCCTCAAAATCTCAGTAACTATTAACCACTCAGCAGTGGCAACCATTGTGATAAGTCTGAACATCATAAGAAAGATGGCCTCGTTCTTATTTTTCAGAAGCTGATGATTACTTAGTAGAAAATAATCATTTAACTCTGGGTTGTCATATTTTGTGTGGATGGTTTGTTTTCAAATGAAGAGACTTAATTGATCAGCATTTCTGAGTAACTGTCAGTATAGTGCAGCATTTGTGAAACTAGTCAGTGCTAAAAAATAAGCCACGTGCATTAAGTGGGAATAATTTTTCATCTGAGTCTACACAGTAAAGGAATTGGTTTTTAGTCAACCAAAGGAGAACTCAGAGTAATGGGACTCAAATCAAATTGTCCCATGTTCAGGGATTATAGTTTCACCAGCAGCCTCCAGTCAGTCTTTTCTGAAAAGAGTGAGTCTGTACTTGTTAATAGGTTTATACTGATTTATTGATTGAGTCGAAGTCTCACTGTCACCCAGCCTGGAGTGCCGTGGCACAATCACCGCTCACCAAAGCCTCAATGTCCTGGGCTCAAGCAGTCCTTCCCCCTCAGTTTCCTGAGTAGCTGGGACTACAGGTGCATGCTATCAAACTTGGTTGATTTTTTTTTTTTTTTTTTGTAGAGATGAAGTCTTGCTATGTTGTCCAGGCTGGTCTTGAACTCCGGGACTCAAGCAATCCTGTCACCTTGGCCTCCCAAAGCGCTGGGATTATAGGTGTGAGCCACTGCACCTGGCCGTTAATAGGTTTGGAACAATGTCTTAATTAACCAGGAAGCTCTATAATTTTTTTCCTTCTCTGTTTACTTATCACTATAGGGTCAATTCTTACCCAGCAACTGAACCTTGTAATAGGTCTACTGTTAAAAACTGCAGATTTTAGGTAACTTGGCAAGGCCTCATCTCTACAATAAATCAGAAAGTTAGCTGGCCATGGTGGCACACACCTGTGGTTCCAGCTACTTGGAAGGCTGAGACAGAAGGATCATCTGAGTCCAGCAGGTCGAGGCTATGGTGGCCGTGAGTGTGCCACTGCACTCTAGCCTGGGCAACAGAGTGAGACTCCAACTCAAAAACAAAACAAAAAACAAAAACCTGCAGATTTTAAATAAAATCTGTAAAGCCTATTTCATACAATAGAGCAGAGCTGATCCTTCATTTAATCATTCTCTATCCTATATGAAAAAATAAAACTTATTTTCATCTTCAGAGCTGGAAAGGAAAAGCCAGAGAAAGGAAGAAAAAGAAGCCTGAGGAAGATGATCAGGAGAGCCCCTGGAAGCATTGCTATTTATAGCTTAAAGGGAATCTTGAAGAGTCACCTAGTCATCTACTGTCAATTCCTGCTACCACCACACCCTTATAATGAAGATGCTGGGGCTAAGAAAGATTGAACCATGGCCTTGACCAGTCTCTGATGACCTGCCATTTAAATGACTCTCCTCTACCCATGTTTTTAAAAGTTGTTGGTACTTTCAGAACAGGAGGAGACTTATTTAACATGGGGAATTATTATCAGATACCATAAGCCATCAGCCCTGTCTTTATTTGATGATAGAGATAGCTTCAAACACTTTAGTGGGTCTTTGTTTAAGCAAACAAGCAAAGCAGGCACTACAGCAGAACATCTTCTGTATCTGAATCATCACCCTAGGGGAACCAACCAAAGATCTTCAGCGAAAGAAGGAACAGTCAGGATCCATTTGTTCATTGTCATGTTCATAAAAATGGCTTGGCCAACCTCTTCTCTAGGGTAAGGCATGGGCACCTAGGCATCCTCTGTGTACCTCCTGCTGCTTAGATGTGCCTCTATGAGGGGTGTATATCCTTTTCGAAGTCTTCTGTATTGAAGGAAAGCTAGCAGCACAAAAAGACCAACCAAAGCCACCAGCACTCCCATGACCACAGAGAGGGCTGTGGGCCAGCCTGGAGTTTCTTCAACTGAAACAAAAGCAGAAGAGAAAGGTCTATAGTCAGAATTTTCACTGGGTGAAGACTCTTAGAGAAGCAAAGAATAAACACAATTGTTTTTCACTCCTTTTGTGTTGATAAAGCAAAACGTCTCTTGCTAGAATAAAATTTATCTTCTGCTTTCTCCCCATGTATCATACCCACAGTTGTTTTTCTTGAATAAGTCGGAAATGGCATTCCATTATTTAAATACAGCTTATTGCATTTTAAAAATTTGTTACAATAAACGCTTATGCAGAATGAACCCTCCAAGGAAGTATATTGCTACTTTTGTGAGTTAGAAACTCATTTGTAAAAGTGCATGCTAAAATGGCATCTAGGGAACTGCAGAATATACAACCCTCAGGTGCAGAAATTCTGCTATTGTCTCCACCATTTTTATAGAATGATAAATGTGTGGGAGGGATGAGACTGGCTATTATAGCAGAAGACATTCAATAACAGAAGCAGATGATATTCATACCCATTTCAATAGTTGTGAATAAAATGTGAATCTTCCACATGATAAATTCCATTCTTTCCCCAAATGTTTTAAAAGCACACTTCCACAAAATTAATTAATTTCTTTTTTTAGTATATTTATGCCTATTTGTCATTTCTTTAAAAACTATCTTTTCCTTGGCCAGCTGTTCTTAAAGTCAGTTCCTCTGAATTTTTATCTATATAAGATTCTCTTTCTAGTCCTTTTCCTCCGATCCCATGAAGGGACCTGTCCCATCCTGATGAGATTCCTCCAAGAGTGTTTTAATTTGTCTTCTCCTGCTATGATCCAGCAGTACCTATTGCCAGTTTTTATTATTTACATATTTATTTTTTGAGCTGTGGTCTCATTTTGTCTCCCAGACTGGAGTACAGTGGCATGATCATGGCTCACCACAGCCTCGACTTCTGGGCTCAGGTAATACTTCCGCCTCAGCCTCCTGAGTAGTTGGGACTACAGGTGTGTGCCTCCATGCCTGGTTAATGTTTTTTTACTTTTTATTTTGGTAGAGATGAGTTTTCTCTATGTTGCCTAGCCTGGTCTCGAACTCCTGGGCTCAGGCAATCCTTCTGCCTCAGTCTCCCCAAGTGCTGGGATTACAGGTGTGAGCCACCACACCCAGCAAAATAAATAAATAAATACATAAAAAAGTCTGTGTTTTATGAAGATGAAATTGGCAATAGGTTTTCTGGGCACAGTGGCTCACACCTATAATTTCAGCACTTTGGAAGACCGAGGCAGGAGGATTACTTGAGCCCAGGAGTTCAAGATCAACCAAAGCAACATAATGAGAACTCACCTCTACAAAAAATCAAAAACATTTGCTGAGTGTGGTGGCGCTTACCTGTAGTCCCAAACTGCTCAGGAGGCTAAGGCCGAAGGAGTACCTGAGCTAAAGATATCGAGGCTGTAGTGAGCCATGATTGTGCCACTGTACTCCAGCCCTGAGCAACAGAGTGAGATCCTGGCTCAAAAAGCAAGACAAAACAGCTGGGCGCATGGCTTACGCCTATAATTCTAGCACTTTGGGAGGTGGAGGCAAGAGGATTGCCTGAGCCCAGGGGTTCAAGATCAGCCTGGGCAAGCAGCAAGATCCCATCTACACAATAAATCAAAAAATTAGCTGGGCAAGGTGACACGTGGCTGTAGTTCCAGGTACTTGGAAGGCTGAGGTGGAAGGATCGCCTGAGCCCAGCAGGCCGAGGCTGCGGTGGCCATGAGCATGACACTACATTCCAGCCTGGGGGACAGAGTGAGACTCCAACTCAAAAAAAAAAAAAAAAAACACAAACCAAAAAACAATCATATTTTCTAATCTGTCATTTCTTCGTTAGGTAACCAAAAATGCTTGCCTTCTGTTATTGCCCAAATCTGCCTAGCTTTTAAAAAAAAAATTATCTTTTTAAAGTCGTGGTGACCTACGCATAATATAAATGTTATCATCTTAACCATTTTTAAGGGCACAGAACAGTGGCATTAAGCACATTCACATGGCTGTGCAACCTTCACCACCATCCATCCTCAGAACTTTTTCATCTTACAAAACCAAAATCTTGTGTCCACTAGACAGGAACTTGTAGTCTCCCCTGCGCGGGCGCTGATAACCACCATCCTTCTGTCTCTATGACTTAGACTATCCTATGTCATAGAATCACGCAACATGTGTCCTTTTATGTATGGCTTATTCACTTGGCCTAATGTCCTCCAGGTTCATCCTTGTTGTAGCATGCATCAGAACTTCCTTCCTTTTTAGGGCTTACTAATACATTACTGCATGTATATAAAAACATTTGGTTTTATTCATTCATGCACGGATGGACACTTGGGTTGTCCCCACCTTTGGCTCTTGTGAACAATATGAACATAATTTTCAAGACTTCGCTTTCCAGCCAGGTTCGGTGGCTCAGCCTGTCATCCCAGTACTTTGGGAAGCCGAGGCCAGTGGATTGACTAAGCCCGCGGGTTCGAGACCAGCCCGGGCATCTTGGCGGGAACTCGTCTCTACAATACAATAAAAAATTAGCCAGGCATGGTAGCACGCACCTATAGTTCCGGCTACTTGGATCACTGGAGCCCAGCAGGTCGACACTGGGGTGGCCTACACTCCTGCCTGGGCAACAGAGTGAGACTCCAACTCCAAAAAAAAAAAGACTTTGCTTTCCATTTGAGGGGGGTATACACTCAGAACTGTAACAGCTGGATAATTTTCCATTTAATTTTTGAAGAATCCCCAAACTGTTTTCCATAATGGTTGTACCATTTTGCATTCCCACCGGCAATGTGCAAAAATTCCAATTTCTCCACATCCTCAGAAACATTTGTGAGTTTCAGTTTTTAGATGGTAGCTGAAAGGGTCAGGAAAATTTACCACAAATATAGCTTTTTGCCCCAAGGTCTCCCTGACCTTCCTGCCTATACTTAGTTACAGAGAAGCAGTTTCTCTTCCCTGTCAATCTATTACAGAAAAGAGCAAGATAAGAATACACCTGGACAGACCTCCTTACAAGTATAATGCCTGTCTCTCAAGTTCACCCAACTTGCAAAGATAACTATTTGCAAGTCATTCTGTTTCCCCATTCATTCTTCCAATCATGTGTTGTCCCTCAAAAGAATTCCTCTTCCTCCCCCTCCTATAACCTGTCTTAACCAGAATGCAGCCTCCATTCTTCCTATTCCCCTAGAAAGACCTTAAGTTTTCTGTAACTCATTGGGAAACTGGGACTTCATTCTGAAGGCTCCTGTGTACACGTGTTAAATAAAATCTGTGTGTCTTTTCTTCTGCTAATCAATCTTGCCTCAAGCCGGTGATTTTTCAGTGAACCTTTAGGGGGCCAATGGCTACGGCCCCCACATAGCCATCCTCATGAGTATAAGATGCTGTCTCATTAGATCTAAGAGGCCCAGGCCTAAAGGCCTCTGTACTCAGGCTCTCTCAAAGGTCTTAATTCACAGTAACATTGTCTCAAGCCTTCCACTACAGCCAGGCTTGAAAGTTTCTGAAGTCAAAGAGAGATATTGAACTCAGAAATCATCTTGAGGACTTTGTAGTCTGAGACTTAGAGAAGGTGAAATAGGTACAAATGGGGGAAAGCCACTAGCAGATAGACTGTGTGTTTTTCAGCTTCTTGACAACTTAAGATATTTTTTGTAGTTTGATTTTTCCTTTCTCAACCTGTCCTAAGATTCTTTAAATGCCATAAGGAGCCATGCTGGGACCTGGGCCAAAAAGCAGAATGTGTACCCCTGTATATACTTATCAAAAGATCCTCCCATATTTTAAACCAGGTGGGAAAAGTTAATAAAAAGGTCTACAGTTTCAAAACATGCTTTAGGCTGGGTGTGGAATTCTAGCATCTATGAAAGACCGAAGTGGGAGGATCACTGTAGCCCAGGAATTCAAGACCAGTCTAGACAACAAAGCAAGACCCTGTCTCTATAAAAAAAAAATTTTAAAGAAAGAAAATTAGCTAGGCATGGTGGTGTGCACCTGTAGTCCCAACTACTTGGGAGGCTGAGGCAGGAGGATCACCTGAGCCCAGAAGCTGAAGGCTACCATGAACCATGATCGTGCCATTGTACTCCAATGTGGGTGGCAGAGTGAAACCCTGTCTTTAAAACAACAACAGCAGCAAAAACCATGACCTAAAAAACATTAACTACGAAAACATCCACATGCAGCCCAATCTGCTGGCAGGCCGATGTCAGGTCTCAGAAAACTACCCTGCAGGGGTGGTATGGGCTAGTTGAAAACAACAAATTTCATTACAAAATGAAATTAAACAAACCACAGCAATCTGTCTTTATCTAAAATTCTGACAGTGTATTATTCACCATGCATTTTTTGCACGGCTTGATCTTTTTAAAATATTGTGTTATATTATTACCTACCTTGATTTCTGAGGTTTCTGGTCTCCCCTTGAATTATGTGCTGGAGGAAAAGGTCATACTTGCCTCACTCTGATTTCAGCCCTGCCTTCAAGTAAGGCTATGTCTTGCTAGTTCCTGTTCACATGCAGCCAGTTCATCTTTATCTTGTTGGCTAGACGTTTCAAACAACCATGGGGTGGTTTTTAATTAATCGGACTAATTCAGATAGAAGTGTCAAATCAGGTGTAAGAATTCCTCTGTAGAAAGGCTTCTTAAAACCTTTCAGTTTTCTAAAACAACATTCAGCTAACTAGTTTCTTTCTGATGGATAATTAATAGTTGGAAAGCTCATTTTGCTAAATACATGACTTCTAGAAAATGACCAATAAACTTAACACCACCTAAATTCTCTAATTAAAAGTCTTGGTATACCTTAAAAAGAGAGAAAACCCTTTTAGAAGATGAATGAGTCACCCACTTAGAAGTCGTTTGGTTACCTGGCAGATCAATGGCATAGCTGTAGCCGAGTTGGTCTGCGGTTAAAAAGAGCTCCTCGTTTGTCACCGGAGGGAAGAAAGGAACCATATTATACATCCGATTATGACCAATGGGTGCCAGTTCCTGAGGCCAGGCATCTGCAGGAGGATTGTATCTTTTCATCCACTCATCAAAGATGGCATCGGTAAAGGCATGAAGGACCTGCAAGACAGTTGAACGTCTCATTGAAAATCGATGAGTCTGTTCCAAAGTTTAGATACAGATTGCTGTTGTTTGTTTGTCTCTAAAGTGGACAGAGTTCTTGATGTGAGGACCTTCTGTATACCCAATCCAGCCTTCATGACATGTGCACTAATGTTTCTAGTTGAGTTTTCAAGAATCCATGGACTTGTCTCTCCAAACAGCATCATAAACCCTTCTGTCTAGTGAACAAGTGCAATTCACGTTTCAGGCTTAACACTGGTTTGGGAATATTTGAAGCCTTCAATATGTGTTAATGATTAAGATCAGAAAAGAGCAAGTATGGTAAGATAAATATTCTAGTCGATAGTCGATATTCATGGGTTGGGCGTGGTGGCTCACGCCTGTAATCCCAGCATTTTGGGAGGCTGAGGTAGGAGAATGGCTTGAGCCCAGGACTTCGAGACCAGCTTAGGCAACAAATCAAGACCTCATCTCTACAAAAAACCAAAATCTTAACCGGGCATGGTGGCGTGTGCCTGTAATCCCAGCTACTCAAAAAGCTGAGGTGGAAGAATTGCCTGAGCCCCGGTAGTTGAGGCTATGGCGAGCCGTGATGGTGTCACTGCACTCTAGCCTGAGTGACAGAGTAAGACCCCGACATAAAAACAAACAAACAAATAATATTCAGATGCTTTGGTTTAATGAGGGAGAAAGAAGAGGTTACATTTACAGGTCGAGTATCCCTAATGTGAAAATCAAAATTTGAAATGTCCCCAAATACAGATGTTTTGAGCACTGACATGGAGCTCAAAGGCAACACTCATTGGAGCAATTCAAATTTTGGAATTTCAAATTACAGCCGTGATTTTGCAGCAAGATCTGAATGCGGGAGTTCAGCCCAGCCTTTGTATCTGGTAGTTAAAACTCCTCTTTCATTCCTAGACCTCAGGTCCAAGGAGCTCAGGGACAGTGTCTGCTTTTCATACCCCGAGGTCTCCAGGGTTTATCTTCCCAGGGTCTGTCATCCAGAGGTAGGGAGGTACTTATTTAAACAATAATTGTTCATTTCATTCACTCATTCCTCCGTTCACCACTGTATCCTGCACCTCATTTAAAGCACTAATTAAGTTATATTATGACTTATTTATCTATTGTATTATCTAGCAAGACCTCTAACTCCTTAAGGTCAAAGATAAGGACTTTTCACCTTGAAGCCTCAACCTAGATAGAGTCAATGCTTGAGAAGTAACTGTTGACTGGTGATAGAATGTCAGGTAAAGTCATTTTCTTTGCACAAACTGTTTACCCTCAATCCACTTTCTCATATATTCCTCATCATTAGATTTTCCAAAAATAAAAATCCTTTCCTGATGAAATGGTAGAATAACTCCTCCAGCTTTTTAAAAAAAAATACAATCAACCCTTTCCAGAGGAAGCCGATTCTGCAGTCTGTAATGCTGTTCCATCTGTTTTCTGGTATCAGAGTCTTTCAAGGGCTCTGTTCTCATGGTCCCAGTCCTGTGACCGCCCCTGGACTGAATTCTGTGCTCTTTGTTCTTCTCAATCCCTTTAATTGTGTTGCCCTCCGGCTGTATTACTCCTGTCAGTTATGGTAGATAATGCTTCCAAGTCTTACCAGAGGTTCTTTCCTCACTTACTTAGTTGCTCCATTCCAGGCAAGAGAAAGTTTTCTGCTGGAATTGTCTCATGAGGCCACATTCAGGATAGAAAAAGGAATCAAGTGCTTTGTTGAAGGGATTTTCCTTTCTGAATGGATTTGTAAAGTTCATGGCAGAGATAGTCATCTAAAAAACTCAAACATCAAATTCTAACCTGGGTTTTTGGAGACAGAAAAGATTTTCTGAATTCTGAAATCTGGGTTTTGAGTAACAAAAGTCAAGCCCCTGAAGAAGAAAGGTGCAGTGTTGACGCATAAGCAGTGACTTAGAAGGACGCACATTAGTGTAAGTGATCAGTGTTCCCACAAGTAGAGTTCAGAAGATGTCCTCTTTGAGGAACTGCGTCAGTCCTGGAGAAAGAGCTAAGCGTCAGCTGTTGTTAGGTCCCTGAGGAGGGTACCTCATGCCCTGAACCTGGGAATTCTGGACAGGATGAAAGGTTTCCAGCAAGGGACTCTGTGCTTTATCCTCCAAGTGGAGCCCGAAGAGCCTGCAGGCCTCAAAGACAAGTCTAACCTGAAGCATGGAGCCCAGGCAATCCAGGTAGAATGTCTGAGGGTAGCAAGCATCCTTCCCTTTTAACTCAGTGTGAGGTCAATGCAGGACATGTGTTCCGCCCCTCCACCCCTGCTGATGACTACTCCCCAACTGGGAGAATGTCCCCTGGCCAAGGTCATGGGCAGAAACTCTCAAGACAGTATGCACACTTGCATACTCAAGGCACTTACCAAGAGGGTAAAAATTCTTGTTCCTGCTTCTTTGCCCACAATGCCCACTTCTATGCACGTAAGGCTATTTTTTGTGTCTTATTTCCTTTCTCCACTGGAGGTATATAGTCTCTCCCTACATCTGTTGGGCACAGAAAGCTTTGTACCAAATGGCCGCCATTGGTCCCTCCTGTAAGTATGAATAAGCCCATGTCTTTGCCAACCTGTCCATCACATGGTTTCTTCAGAATAAGTAAACATTATGTAAGTGCCCTGTCAGGGGCTCCCGCGATATGCTCAGTAACCTTTTGTGTATTTGGAGTGAAGCAAGATGTCAAACTATCCACGAATTGTAGCTGTAGGACAGTGGATGAGACTTCTAGGAAAGCTTTAGTAAGGTGGTTGTCTCAGCTAAGAGGTGCCCCTTTTTGCCTTTTCATTTATTTTTGCCACTCCCTGGAATATAAACATGAAGGCTAGAGCTACTGCAGTCATCAAGCAAAGTTAAGAAAAGAAGCAGGTCAGGCACGGTGGCTCACATCCATAATCTCAGCATTTTGGAAGGCCGAGGTGAGAGGATTGCCTGAGTCCACGGGTTCGAGACCAGCCCATGTGACTTGGTGAGACTTCATCTCTACAATAAATCAAAAAATTAGCCAGGCATGGTGGCACACACCTGTAGTTCCAGCTACTTGGAAGACTGAGGCTGAAGGATCACCTGAGCCCAGCAGGTTGAGGCTGCGGTGGCCATGAATGTGCTACTGCACTCCAGCCTGGGCGACAAAGTGAGATGTCAACTCAAAAAAAAAAAAAGCCACTTGCCAGTAATGCTAATGCAAAAGTGAGACAAAAGGTATCCTTGATGACTATGGAAGCATTATACCAACCCTGACCTGCGTATCCCTAAACTCTTTAAAATCAGAGAAAAAGATATATCTTTCTTGTTCAAACTTCTGCAATTTGAATGTTCTGTTCTAAGCAGCCAAACCCAATCTTTCGTGATATATAGAAAAAGTGTCTAGGAGTATATAAGAATGTTTTTTCAAAGAAGGTCACATACTATCTCTTGACTGACATTATCTTATTACTATCTTCTAGAATATTATCCCTCCTTCATCAAGGGTTGGAGTTCAACTAATCCCTTCCTTTGAAACTTGGTGATTTTCTGACTTTCTTGTAACTAATAAAGTGCAGCAGAAGTGGCCGTCTGTGACTTTTGAGGCTAAATCATAAAGTGTTTTATAGCTCCTGTCTTGTGCCTGAGTCCTGAATCACCCACCCATGGTACCAGCAGTCCAACTGTCCTGGGGCAGTCAGGATGTGAGGAAGCCCAACCAACCCACATAGAGTGACCACAGGGAGAGACTCAGACTTCAGAAAGAAAGTGAGATGGTTGGCCAGTCCATAGCTGCTCCAACACCTGTCACCATCTTACTGCACTGAAAGACTCTAAGCCATAACTGCCCATTTAAACACTTCCCAAATTCCTGACCCACAGAAATTGTGAGAAATGTAATGGTCATTGTTGCTTCAAGCCACTAAGGGTTGGGGTGATCAGTTACACAGCCATGGACACACCATAACAAAGAGGGAAAGCCTGACTACTGTCTCACAGGCTCATGCTAATTCCAACATGTGTAGGAAAGAGTTCTCTGGTCCATAAAGAGAGGGCAGAGGTGCTGGGGGGTGGTGATGAGACTTGAGGCAGAAAAGACACAGCCTGTGGACCTGACAACCAAAAATCACAGAGGTCTGCAGACATCAACCGTGGATACCAGTCCACGGCAGCTGGGAAGACAGAGATATTAGGGGTTTAGTACAGGGCCTCTCATGTAGGAAATATTTGCTAAATGGTTGTTATCACTCTGACTAGGCATCAATACTATTATTATTTTAACTTGAGACAAGGATTTATGGAAAAAGAATGAGGGAATTCGTGTTTTGCAAGTTTGGGGGGGTCTTTAGTACCTCAGAAATCACATACTCTCTATGTATAACCAGCAAGAAACTGGGCATTTAGGAAAGTCCATGGCCATAGCTAGCTCTTAATAAATAGGTTAATTGATATTTATTAGTATCTGTCTGATGTCAAACACTATTGTAAGTACTTTACCCATAACGATGTATTGAATTCTCAAAGCAGCCTGTTTAAGTAGATACTATTTGTTTACTCAGGTTGTTATAACAAAGTACCACAGCCTGAGCGGCTTAAACAATAGACGTTGACTGTCTCACAGTTAGAGACAGTGTGTCTCACTTCCAGGAGGCTACAAGTCCAAGTCCAAGATGTAAGTAGGGTTGGCTCCTTCCTAGAGCTGTGAGGGAAAATCTGACCCATGGTTCACTCCTAGCTTCTGGGGGTTTACTGGCCATCTTTGGCTTTCTTTGGTTTATAGATTTCTGTCTTCATCCTCACATGGTGTTCATCCTATTGGCAGGTATCTATGTCCAAATTTCCACTTTTTTTAATAAGAATGACACTCATACTAGAGTAGGAACCTACTCTATTAAATTAAAACTTTGTCTTAATTTAACTAGTTATATCTGCAACTACCTTATTTCCAAACAGTGTCGCATCATGAGGTATCAGCAATTAAGACTTCAGTACATGAATTGTGGGAGAACAAATTCA